AAAGTCAGAATTCTGAGAAAAAAGTCAGAATTCTGAGAAAAAAGTCAGAATTCTGAGATTAAAGTCAGAATTCTGAGAATAAAGTCAGAATTCTGAGGAAACAAGTCAGAATTCTGAGAATCCTATATACAATATAGGAATCCTATGTTAAACTGAAATAAAATTTAAAAATCAGTTAGCATTTTTTTTTTGCCAGTGGCCCTAATCCTCTTCCGTATGTGTGCATTATGGTAGTCACTCTTTTTTACCTTTTACATTTGACCTTTTTTTAAATCAAATAATTTTATCTTAATTACCCATTGTAGTTCTCTGTAATCCTTTTTCTTTCCATTTCAGCACTTTGAACAGCCATGCTGTAGAAAACGACATGCAGCTCCTGATTAGATGTTCAGAGCTTCAGGCGGCTCGTGCCACCAGCAGTTACTGCTCTGCTTCATGCATGACCCTTCAAACGGCGGCGTGAAAGCAGGAGGTGAAGCTGAGCAGAGAGTGAGAGCCTGAGGCTGAATCTGCTCGCTGACTGACAGGAAGGTGCAGCTGAGTGACAGCAGCAGCTTCTGCAGTGAAAAGGCTCTGAGTGGCTGATGGGCTCCAGCTGTGCACAGCCAGTCCTGACACCTTGGTCGACTCAGATGGTGGAGGATCATGGATGATTTGGCTCTGGAACGTTACTTTGACGATTCTATTGCAAAGGTGAGCAGAAACTGGACATTTCATGTGCTGAAAGTGGAAAGTTAAGAAGTTTCTGAGGCGTGACCTTCCTTTACGTCTTTAGGGGGACGTTACCCCGACTAAACGACAGGAAGGTGTTGCTTCAGGGAGCAACCTCTTAATCTCTAACAGTTTAGCACTTTTTTTCTCCTGAACTTCTGAACCTGAAAAAATTAAAAATATCAACTTTAGATGAAAATGAAAAAAAAAATCAGATATTTAAACCTTTGCTTTTTTATTAAATTGTTTGGTTCTCCTGGTGTCTTGTTATAATCCCAAAAAGTTGATGAATGCAGTAAATAAAACGATAAAAAATTTGACATTAAACTTCAGACAAAAGCAGTGATATTTGAATTCCCTGTAAAGCTGGAAGGTGTTTAAAATGAATATGTAGATTAGAATAATAATAACAACAAGTTATGGAATGCTCAAATCAGACAAATAAAAATCATAAACCAAAAAAAGCCTCAATTATGAGTATAAACATTTCCTTGATTATAAGTCTGATTGTGTTAAAGTGTGTGGTAACGATTATCAATTATTATTACATCCATTATTTATGCTATAAAAAGGATCATTCCTAAAGTTGGATTCTATAATGTTTTTATTCAATCCAAACTGTTTAAAATCAACCATCCTGTGAAATATTAACCATCCTTTTTGAAGCACTAACCGAGCCAATATATGAAAACATTCACAGTTAGTGTGCTTATAATCTAAGAGGCTTTGCAGATTTTACAAATTAAAAAAATCAGGAACATCCAGAGGAGCTGGTTTCTGTACGGCGTCAAACATGGAACGTAAATCCACACAACAAGCAACACGTTGTTCGGAAGGAAGCGCTGCGTACAGGAGGACTGGACTCCATCCAAGTTCTTCATCAGCATCGCTGTCTTCCTCCGCTCTTTCCGTCTCCTTTCATGTTGCGTTGCTGTACCTGCTGGAGGTGAAGGACTAGATGGTGTCTTCCATTACCAGGCTGTTTTAATATTCAGGAGGAAAAAGTTACCTTTTAGGAAATATAATTATTTCTGTTATATATATATAAAAATAGATAGCAGGAATAAATATTTGTATTTTCTCTGAACTGCTTCTATGAGCGTTAATAAAATAACGTTGACAGAGACAGTGGTGTTTGTAAATATCCATAGTAGGAATAAAAGGGGCGGGGTCAATTCTTCCTCTCCTTGTCCAGGAAGTAGCCATTGTTCACTGAGGGGGTGACTGAAAGAGGATCGACACCAGAACCTCAGGGTCAGTCTACACTGTTCCAACAGGAACCTGAATCAGAACGTCAATATTTTCTAAATTAAGACTAACTATACTTTCCTACAGTTTTTGCTAACAAATCCATGGTGTCTAAATTAAAAAAATAAAATAAAAAATTATGCAAACGTTAAAACTTCAATAAAGATTTACTGAGGGAAAATTATGAAAAAAAAAGAAAAAAAAAACACCACCAAAAAACAAAAAAAAAAAAACCATACCAAAAAAATAACGGCTTATTTAAATCAGAAAGCACAGCTGTATCTATAAGAAATGGAAATAGAAAATAGGTTTAGGATTGTGAAAATATATTCCCATTAGGTTTCACAATAACTTGATTAAAGGACAGATTATTTTGATACCCTGAGAGATTATTTTTCATCCATGTAAAGGTGTAATGACAATAAAACATGTATTTTTGGTTAGGCTACCTCAGGCGGCTCATGAGAATAATCCAGATTTATAGATGTCTTTTAATGCTTGTAATTTAATCTCAATATAAAAATCAAACTAAACTGTTTTAATAGTGACTCAGATTTGAATCCAGGCAGCTGGAGGCGACCCAATGCACTGCAGCTGTCCAGGATATAGTAGAAACTACTGGAGGACATTTCATTTTATAGTTATCATTATACTAAAAAAAAAAAAATCATGTTTATATATATATATATATATATATATATATATATATATATATGAAAGCCATTTTTAAGATGTTCCTTTTCTCCTCCTCTGACCTCAGATCTTTATAAAAAGAATCTATCTATATTAAATGGATTATATAGGTTATTGTTAAAGTTGTTTATTGATCTCTGATTTCGCTGAAGACTCCTAGATGACTTACAGGGACATAACTTTCTTTTCAATTCAATTTCAATTCATTTTATTTATATAGCGCCAAATTCACAACACATGGCATCTCAAGGCCCTTTACAGTTCAACCAGATCATACAGTCAGATTGATTCAAAGTTTTCTATCTAAGGAAAACCAGTTGATTGTATTTGAGTCATTGACTCATAGGCAATCCCTCACACTAAGCATGCTTGTAGCGACAGTGGAGAGGAAAAACTCCCTTTTAACAGGAAGAAACCTCCAGCAGAACCAGGCTCCAGGAAACACACAGCCAGGCAGACGAGCTCCGAGCCAGCTCCCATGTCAGAGGATGAAGAGAGCACATCCAGTTAGTCACAGTCAGAGAAACAGGACCACACTGGAAAACAGGCCGATCTCCAACATCTATAAACAAAGGTGTTGATGGAAGCAGCACAGCTGATGTTTCTCTCCAGGATGGAGTCACAGCCAAACAGGAACAGACGAGGCAAAGCTACTCTGAGGAAAAGCAGAGAGAGCAGAACGTTAGACTGAACTAATAGATTCTGCAGAATAGGAGAATAGAGAGAGAATTTACCCCATACAACACAAAATCTGGTTCTAAAAATTGAATTGGCTAAGGCCATGGCCACCCCTTGCCCCCCATCTAACTCTGCCCCTGTTTCCGAGCGTGATAACCCATTTATACGTACTGTACATTGGTCTGTACTTTAAATCATCTGCTTGAAATACACCATGATGAGCCAAAATCTACCTGCTAATTCAGTGGTGCCCTTTATCAGTGGAATCATAACTAGAAACCAGTCCATGAAACCGTCCTCTGCTCCATGTCTTCCTGCAGGACTCCAGCAGCTCAGCGGTGGAGGAGCAGCTCGGTCTGCAGAGCTCTGATAAACTGCAACATGCACCACATAACGGCTCCCAGCTGTCGGGTGGAGCCGAGGCTGCTGGGAGGCTGGGAGACGATCTGGACCTCAGCTTCCTGCCTGATGACCTCAGTCATCACAACTCTAGCAGTGCAGGTGATGGAGGGTTGATTTTCTACGCATTACTGGGTCAGAATAATACCAGGGTGTTTTCTCTCAAGATAAAATCATCAAAAATATGATTATATTCTAATTTACAAACAAATAGTTTACAAACCCTCCCATTAAAGAAAGTGATAATTTCACATAGTTATTAAAATGAAACAAAACAAAAATGTACTGAATTTGAATTTAGAGAACAGTTGCAGATGAATGGAAGCTTCTTCCTGATGAACAGTGAACCAACGTTTCCTGAAAGTCAAAGAAAACACCTGATTTCAGGGATTATTGCCTCCAAGTGTCGATTAACATTTTATCTCAGGAGCTCCATCAGGCCTGTTTTATTTATTTATAGATGGATAGATAGATAGATATTGCAAATCAAGTCAAATGCTAACCATTGATCAGGACGAGGGGCCTCAATGTGCTTTAAACCTGCAGCTTTGTGGGGATGGGTTGAATATCATTTGGTTTTGTCGGGTGGGGGGGGGTCATCAGCAGCAAAGGAGCCCCTCAGGCATTAGATCTCCTGTTGAAGTTGATGGATGAGCTGTGAGGAGGACAGACCCCGAGGATCAGAGGAGGAAGGAGACTTTGGAGGCGTGGTTTAACTCCTCAATACATGAACTTCAGTCACATTAAGGCTGGAAGGGTTAAAGGTCATTACATCCTGGGGTCCAAACATATTGGGACATCCGCTCACTTCTCTTCTTCTTGGCTCTATAACCCACCAAATAGTAACCTGACTCCGCCAGATGGATTTGCTCTGCATATCCATCTGGAAACCTTCCGTTAAAGTAATTTTGGGAAGGGGCGAAAATACTGGTTAGCTGATTGGCCTATGTTGGTGATAGACGGGCCAAATAAACCAATCAGATCAACGAAGCATATGACGTAACAGAGCGACGACGAAAACACAACCACAAGCTAGGTTACTCTTGCCGAAACCAGTCGGGAGAAGAGCAAAAACATCTTTTCCTCTGAGAAAAGCCTCCAGAGCAGTGTTTTGCTCTTCTTTCAGTGAAGAAATACTCTGTAATTCTGATAAAACTTGCTCGATAGCCACGCTAACGCTAGTTTCATCGGCTGAAGCCGCCATGTTCTTTAGACTGAACTGTCGCGCTTCTCGTTGCGTCACACCTCAACCCGCCTCAAAGCCAGCGCTGATTGGACATTCGTTTGGTGAACGGCTCCAAATTTTCTTTAACGGAAAGTAGCCAGACTGATCTGCGAGTGAAACCTTGAAAGCTCGCGAGATCAGGATGGTCTCACGAGGCTAACCAAATAGGTCTGAAATAAAACAACCAAAACAAGGTTAAACTGCAGAACCGTTTAGTTTCAGTCCTGAAATGTTCAATGGTTTTAATTCCTTCAGCCTCAGATTAAAGCTGAATCCCTGCAGTTTCCAGGTAGAGCAGGGATGTCAAACTGGTTCCAGAAAGCGCCAAGGGGCTGCAGGTTTTTTTTTCTTCCAAGCAATAGCACACCAGACTCCAGAATGGGTTTGCTTGATGGGATAAATGCTCTCTGGTGTTCTATTGCTTGTTTGGAAAGAAAACCTGCAGCCCTTTCTGGAAGCAGTTAGACTAGAGGAATATTAGCACTTTTCTCTTAAAGGGGAAGTTGGAGTTTTCCAAAATAAAATAGGCCTGTATCTGGAAAAGGTTCCATGTATTGTTGGCTCCACCTTGTGGTCAAACATGTTTCTGGAGGAGAAATGCTGAATCTAAAATGTTCATCCTCCAAAAATATTCCTCAAATCCTTTAATTTATCATGATATTAACCTGAGAGCAGATGTTTCCCTAAAAGCGTGAGTGCTATTGAATTATTATTAGTAGTTAATGTTTCACAGACGTGTAGAAGCAAGTATCCTGGTGAAATCTAGGATAGATAGATCTACTTTGACACTCTGCTCCTTTAACTGATTAATGTAAAAAGTAACCCCAATAAATTGGACAGATTAAGAGAGAAAATAGTGGAAACTTGACCGTAACTTATTGAAAGAAAATGACAATGTTGGAGGAATAAAATAAAATAAAAATCAGCCTGATTTAAGGCCTGGAATATTTTCATTGAAGCTGCATCAATCCTCACACTGGCTAAAATAAAGAGACAAAATTTTATTTTTTAATGAATTTGCAAAAATTTCTATATTTCATTTTTTTTTTCTGTCCAGATGGGATTCTTAATGAACATTAATGAGAAATAAAATTAACTTTATTGCTTTTAGCAAATAAAACAAAGGGTGAAAAATTTAAAGGGGTCTGAATAATTTCCATACCCACTGTACAGTGGAGGATGTATTTTTCCGGGTGGATCATCTCAATAAGTGGTCCTCCTAACTGTCAATCATTGTGGTGATATGTTTACGTAAGGCCGTCCCCATTTTCACCAACCCCTCTGCCAAGGATTACCTCCCCTCTGGCACACTGATAACAAAATGGATTGAAATATCAACGAAAAGGGAACTTTAAAACGTATTCTCAATGTTCTCATTTCTTATGCATGGATGCACTAAAATGTAGAGTTTTGGTGGACAGATAAATTCGAATGAATATGATTTTTACCTGTATGGAGACATGTTGATGTGCTATGGTCAGTTTCAATGAATATATTCCCTGCCCAGTGGATGGTATTTCTCACTTCTGCTATCAACACCATTCCAGATCCTTTCTGACAAATAATTAATATGTTTAAAAGTTCCCTTTTTATTCATATTTCAATATGTTTTCTAATCAACGTGCGAGAGTTTTTGGCGATGCACTCTCCCCCAACAGGGGAGGTCATTCTCTGCATAACATCGCTGGTGAGTCTGGCATAGTGGAAAAATTGCAAATTTTCTTTTGGAAAGTAAGCTTGTATGAGCGATGCAAACTGCAACTTTTAAACAGAGCGTGCACGAGGAGAAATGGGCTCATGCACGCCCTTGCCCGCATTTAATAGGCGTTCCCTCCTGACAGCGGGTATAGGGTTGTGTATGTGCATTATTTATTTTCAAGTGAAGAGGGCGGGTCTTTTCAAAAATTTGTGAAAATCCTTCATGATCCCTTTAAGTTTGATCTTTAGTAAAACATCAGGTTTGTTTTTACTGTTAGGAATAGGAACCTGCTTCCTTGAATCCCATCTTATTTCTCAGCGAATAAAACATTTTAGATGCATGTCACAGCAGCACTGAACAGAAACGGAGGATTTGCAGGGATATGCTTTGTTCTGCAGAAAGCCTGCATTTATTTTTCTAGGTATTTTTTATATCATATTTTTCGTTGAGATCTTGGAAAAGAGCAGAACATTCTTTAGGTGATTGATTGACTTCAGAGGAGAAATGTACTCATTCCATCAGCTCAAATAGTCAAAGGAGAAGAAGGAGTCAAAGGAAGAAAAATGTGCATGATGGGATATATACAGTATATAAAGTGCATCCACATATGACAACTTCTTATCCTTATACAGGTTTACTGCACAAGGTGTTTATATATATATATATATATATATATATATATATATATATATATATATATATAGTTATTGCACTCAGTGTCAGATAGTCATTGTAATTCTCTACTGCAGCAGTTATTGCGGTTAAACAGGTCCTTCTCAAAATATAAGCATATTGGTATAAAGTTAAATATTTTTCCTAAATCTAATGATAAAACTTGAACATTCATATATTTTAGAATTATTGCACACTAACTGAAATATTTCAGGTATTTTATTGTCTTAATACGGATGATTTTGGCATAGAGCTCATGAAAATCCAAAATTCCTATCTCACAAAATTAGCATGTCATTAAAAAGATCTCTAAAGGAGCAATGCACTTAATCATCTGAATCAACAATTTAACTCTAAACACCTGCAAAAGATTCCTGAGGCCTTTAAAACTCCCAGCCTGTTCCAGACTGTTCCCAGAGAGCTGTATCAAGGCACCTCAGTGGGAATCTGTGGGAAGGAAAAAGTGTGGCAGAAAAAGCTGCACAATGAGAAGAGGTGACCGCACCCTGAGGAAGATTGTGGAGAAGGGCCGACTCCAGACCTTGGGGGACCTGATGAAGCAGTGGTCTGAGTCTGTAGTAGAAACATCCAGAGCCACTGTGCACAGGCGTGTGCAGGAAATGGGCTACAGGTGCCGCATTCCCCAGGTCAAGCCACTTTTGAACCAGAAGCAGCGGGAGAGGCGCCTGACCTGGGCTACAGAGAAGCAGCACCGGACTGTTGCTCAGTTTTGCATGTAATTTGGAAATGCCAGAGTCTGGAGGAAGACTGGGGAGAAGGAAATGCCAAAATGCCACAAGTCCAGTGTCAAGCAGCCACAGTCAGTGATGGTCTGGGGCGCTATGTTAGCTGCTGGTGTCGGTCCACTGTGTTTTATCAAGGGATGGTGAATGCAGCTAGCTATCAGGAGATTTTGGAGCACTTCATGTTTCCATCTGATGAAAAGCTTTATGGAGATGAAGATCTCATTTTTCAGCACGACCTGGCACCTGCTCACAGTGCCTAAACCACTACTAAATGGTTTACTGACCATGGTATAGAGCAGGGGTCACCAACCTTTTTAAGGCTGAGGGCTACTTCATGGGTACCGAGTCATAGGAAGGACTACCAATACTGACCTATTACTGGAGGGATCAGTGGTCACCTACAGTCAATCTCATCCATAAGAAAATCATTTTTATTCTTATTTTATTCTTTTATTCATTTCTAATTTTCTTTTTGATATTGTCATTTTGAAACCCACTGAAATATGATGAAATAGTTAACATGATGAAATAATACATACATGATTAAAAAGAAGAGCAACAGAATAAAAAAAAATTTTTACTTAACCCACTGAGTGAGTTATTCTGTTTTCAGAAGACGAAGAGGGCCCCCCATATGGTCCTTGAGGGCCTCTTGGTGCCCGCAGGCACCGCGTTGGTGACCCCTGGTATAGAGAATCTGTGGGATACTGTGAAGAGAAAGTTGAGAGACGCAAGACCAAACACTGTGGATGAGCTAAAGGCCACTATGGAAGCATCCTGGGCCTCCATAACACCTCAGCAGTGCCACAGGCTGATTGCCTCCATGCCACCCTGCATTGAAGCAGTCATTTCTGCAAAAGGATTCCCAACCAAGTTTTGAGTGCATAACTGTACATAATTATTTGAAGGTTAACTTTTTTGTATTAAGAACACTTTTCTTTTATTGGTCGTATTAAACATGCTAATTTTGTGAGATAAGAATTTTGGGTTTTCATGAGCTGTATGCCAAAATCCTTTGTATTAAGACAGTAAAAGACCTGAAATATTTCAGTTAGTCTACAATGAATCTAAAATATATGAATGTTCAAGTTTTATCATTACATTAGGGAAAATAATGAACTTTATCACAATATGCTAATATTTTGAGAAGGACCTGCAGTGTCCTTCTCAGATGGACCTGTTTTTCCAAACGGGGTGTGAAAGTCTTTGACTAAAGGAGCTGCTCAGCTCTGCTACAGTCTGGTGCAGAGGGTGGAAGGTGTTGCCCATGATGGATGGATCAGAGGAGGATTGATGAAGCTTTAAAATCAGACCAACATTTAAATCTGAATTCTGAGCTAGTTTGAGGCTCCCACTGGTTTGTGTATATAAACCTGAACCATTGTGTTGTTTCTGTCTTTCTCCTCGCAGCTGAAGCAGCCACAGCTCAGAACGCTGCGCTGGACGTTCTGGAGGACAGTGGCATATGTCTGGATAACGAGCCACCGGATTCAGCTGCAGGGCCCCTTCAGCAGGGACCTGCTAATCTGGGGCCAGAGAGCAGAGCTTCCCCTTTCTGTCCTATGACCCCCATGACCCCCATGACCCCAATGACCCCCGTAACAGAGAAGTCTGGAATCATCCCGCAGTTACAGTAAGTTCAGGAATGTTGCTGGATTATTATATTTTAATGTCAAAAGCTGAAGCTCAACATGTGAAAAATAGAAACACTGGGAATAACTGGATGGTCATAAAAACGTTGGTCTGTTGGGAGCAAAGTTTAAAGTCTGCAGAGTTCGGCCTCCTTCCTCATCCAATAGGAGCTTCCATCTGCTGGCCGCTTCCTCTGATCTTTTTAACCCAACCTGACGGACCTCCATTTTCCCAACAAGTCATGGTGCAGACGACGCGGTAAACAGAATAATGGCGGCGTACCGGTAACACCACCTGCTCCAGGAGCTACCGTCTGTCCAGAACCTGGTATTATTGGACGGATAAACTTCCAGAAAGTTAACTGAAAGCTTTGTCTCCATCACAATGCCACGGGGCTGATTGATCGATGCAACTGGTTCCCCGATTGGTCGGGGCCATGGGGGTCGTTGATTGGAAAGCTAGCAGCACTGATTTCATGGTTACCGTGGGTAACATACTCAAGGTTCCAGTACTGTCCTCCATTGAGGTGGAGCAACTAGATGGTGAGCTAAACTCTCCATCATTCATGACATGAAGAATTTATTTGCCATCTTCATAATAAATCCACAGTTCAAATAAGATTAAATTACGTGATAAGAATGAAACTACCAGAAACCCCCAAAGAAAATACAATTTGCTAAACATAAAGTACTGTTGTTAATAAAGTTCTAGACTAGCATGCATTTTAACCAAATAAATTCCCTTCAACTCTTAACGTCTTAACAGAATTTTACACTAAAGAACTAACTTGACTATTAAACAATGATATTGGACATAAAAGCATTGGTTTTGGGTTGAGACAATGGGTTATTTCTTCAGTTTCTCCTGCATTAGCACTCTTCACATGCCTGCTGTTTTGTAATTTCTAATGCAGCTTAAGCACTTCTACTTCCTACTTTCCTTTTTACAACACTTCAAAATAAAAGTCGTCCCTACAAAATAAAGCCAGCATAACTCCTAATACACATTTTATAAAGATAAGAAACTATTGCCTAAAGGCATGATCCTCTGGATCATCTGGATGTTTCAGAGGAGTCATGGGTGGATGTTCTGTGATTGGACTAGACAAAGGTAGAAGTTTTTGGTCTTAATTCCCCTCGCCAGGTTTTGAGGAAGAAGAAACACTGTCCCTGCTGTAAAGGTGGCTGTATTTCTGCACATTGGACAGGGCGACTGCACTGCATAAAGGAGAGGATGACTGGGGCCATGTATTCCCAGATTCTGAGGAACAACCTCCTTCCCTCAGTTAGAGCAATAAAGATGGGTTGAATATGCTGATGATTCTCAGTCATTGGAAACCAAGTCCAGTGGATTGTTTTTTAAACTTTTACGGAAAGATGGGTGGAGGCTGGGTCTTCCAGCATGACAATGACCCAAAGCAAACAGCCAGGATAACCAAGGAGTGGCTCTGGAAGAAGCAGATCAAGGTTCTGACGTGGACTAGCCAATCTCCAGACCTGAACCCTATAGAGAATCTTTGGAGGGAGCTCAAATTTGGATCTAGAAAAGATCTGTGTGGAGAAGTGGGCCAAAACCTGTGAGAAAAGCTACAGAAAATGTTTGACCTCTCAAATACTTATTTACTGTAGGCCTATATGATAATGTGCAATGCAGATTTCTATTGTGAATGTTATCAATATGATTAAAATTGGGTATGTCTTTAAATTCCGACCAATAGATAGATCTGTATGTTCGTCTCATTTGAGGGGATTAAGGGGCAGAACTTCCAGAACTGACCTCATGGATGAGATTATTTCAGTTCATCTGTGGGTGAAGGCGTTGAAGGCAGTAGCTCAGCCAACATACATGGTAAACGCTCTTATATTCATGCGATGGTGTTCTGGTCATAGTGGGCACTCAGTAGTCCAGGCCTGAGCCTCTTTCAGCCAGTCAATTTCCCAAATCTTCACCAGTTAAAATGGTTTGGTTGTATGAAGACAGGATGTGGGAAGGTTCTAGCAGACGGTTCTACTTTTCCAGAATGCGTTGCTCTCTGTCAGGCACTGTCTCACCATCTTTTCTCTTTGTGCAGAAACATTGTCTCGACTGTAAACCTGGGATGTCCCCTGGATCTAAAGTTCATTGCCCTGCAGGCGAGAAATGCTGAGTACAATCCGAAGGTACACAGCTCTGATATTCTTCAGTTCCAGTGTTCTTTACCCTGGTCCACAGGGAGCATCGTTTTAGTCCATGTTTAGTTCACAAACCTGACCTGAATAAAAGGTGATTAACAAGCTTTTGCAGTATCTGATGTCTGCTCAGGAAGTAATGCAACCGTTTGAATCAGGTGTGCTTGAGTAGAGACACATCTAAAGCATGAAGGACCCTGAGGACCAGGGTTTGGAAATCCTGCCATGTTCCCTTTCTCTACTATCCACTCTCTAATCCTACTTTCTTTTCACCCACCTTCCGTCAGCGCTTTGCAGCTGTAATCATGAGGATTCGTGAGCCTCGAACAACAGCACTGATCTTCAGCTCAGGGAAGATGGTCTGTACAGGAGCCAAGAGGTCAGTCTGTGCTGGATGAGGTTGGATGTTAAAGGTGGAACTGGATTTAGAACTAATTATATCAATTCATGACAGTAGGATCATTTGAATATGCAATAAACGACTGAACCTGTTAATGCTAAACTTAAAGTTATAAAACAGCCATAGCCATGATTTATATTTTTATTTAACTCGGCCAGCCAGACTAATTTAACACGACGTATCAGTCTGGAAATAAGCATGTAGAGCACTATTTCAAAGACTGGACTAACTGCTTCAGCAAAAACAGTTTAAAACCAATCGGGTAACTGCAGATGTGACACGCAAACAAAAGCTTGTCTAGCATATTTATGATATAATCTGGTTTTTAAAGACATAATGATTGCTATCAAAACATTGCTACATTGCAATCTTGACTGTTATGGTTACAGAAACGCCTTTCTGCATTATGGGATCACCTACCGCACTCTGATTGGTCTGGTCTTTCTTAGACCAGAGATCATTTAGCTTTAGCAGAGCCCGACTGTCTGATGCCCTGTGTAACTCAGTCTGGATGGATACTGCTAATTTTCTTATCTAAAACACAAATTATTGGACTTGTCAATTCAAAATTTCTGGACTAATGTTGAGTTCCAGGTTTATAAAGTGGACCAAACAAAAGCCTTGTTATGGCTTAGACAAACATGCAAATCGAACTGCAAAAAACAGGTCCACCCCTTGGTAATGGGGGAGACAAGGTTGTTGTTTGCCTGCAATACCAGATACTGGTCTAAAAATACTTGTCATTTTGTATACACAAGTGTAGACGAAAATAAATTTCATTTAGAACAGCTCTCTTGACAATTTCATTTCTTAAAGTGCAGCCTTGATAAGGTAAGCAGCAGTTGTTGTTGAGCTGCTACTACTGCCTCCGGCTCCTAAAGCACTCGCTTCTCCTGGCTCAGGGGAGAAAGGATGACGATGCTGTGAGGGTGGTAGCCCCCTGGGTTGAAGAGGCTAACATGGTTGAAGCAACAGTGGTGCCATCGGCAGGTTTTAGCAGCAACAGATGATGATGGAGAAGGTGTGGAAGCTTGAGGGGGCCGGGAGGAGCCTGCTGGTGATGTTTCATCATTTGGCAGGGAAGCATCTAGAGTGCTCTCCTCATTTTCTCCTGCAGAGGGCTGTGATTCCCCTCTAGATGCCAAAGGTTTCCTAGGAACAGTCTCAGAGGAACCTCCATTCACGCAGACTCTTTGTTTCTATTGGCGCGGTACAGCAGCAGCCCCCCTGGGCCAACAGCACAGTCTGATATAGCTGGCAAGACTGTCAGAATGATGGCGCTGCAGCTAAATATCTCCTATTTTAAAGAGGGTTCCAGTCAGAGATTATCCTTTTTTTTTCTTTTTTTTTCAACAAGCGGACATTGGAGAGCAGGATTGATGGAAGCGGTGGTCTGTGGGGATTTCTCTTTAGCTTCACAGTTAGTCTCCCTCTGCAGCCTCGCTTTCTCAGTCTTGCGCATCTCCATCCGTTATTGTTGTTTCGTTGACATTGTACCGTAGCACTCCGCAGCTTTTTAAACAGTCAAAAATGTCATTATTTAAAAAATTTTGTGACTGTAGCTCCAGCAGGTGTTGGCAATCATAGATGCGGGTTTGATGTCTAGTTTGCATAATTTTAAGCAGCATATTTTGTGAAATTGTTGAGAGGAGCTGCTCTTGGCTGCTGCCTTGGAGCGCCACCATGGTAACCAGTCTTTAGGGTCATTGTTGGCCTGGCTGACCAGGCGAGATACTTTGGTCCTTTGCATGGGGGTTGGGGTTGAGATGATAGCGGGAAGGAATCAACTCTATTGCTGCATTGTAGGTTTTTGAAAGCTGAAATATGAGTTCAGCCCCTCTGTTTAAGGTTGATAGAGTGATAGAGTTGATTCCCTCCCACTATTATCTCAATCCTCATCGCAAGGGCGTAGGTTTGATTTGAACTTTGGTAGGGACACTATTGGCCTGGTGTCATTGGTGCTATGCAATATGCATGTCCTTTTTTATGCTCAATGTGAGCATCCGTACTGATAAGAGGAATTCATTGTTAAAAGAGAAAAACATTTT